TCTACAAAAAAAATTTTTTTTAATTGGCTGGGTGTGGTGGTACACACCTATAGTCTCGGGCACTCAGGAGGCTAATGCAGGAGGATCGCTTGAGCCCAGGAGTTCAAGACTACAATTAGCTGTGCTCATGCCACTGCACCTGAGCAACAGAGTGAGACCCTGACTTGAAAATAAAAAGGACAGAGGAGCTATCATAAAAGGCTCCTGTCAGACAAAATTGAGTTTTTGAGCAACAAATATAAAGACTATATTAGATTAAAACATACTAAATATAAATTCCTAAATCCTTAATAATACCTCCCCGCTAAAAAATAGAATAATTTAAAAGAACATCAGTCCCACTAACTCCTTTCTCTGGAAATTGGTAATTAAAGGGAAATAACAGTAGTCACATGTATTTCCAGTAGAATGAAATTAGCTGCTATTAATGAAGAAAAAGTTAATAAAGTCAATTAATAAATGTAAGAAGAATTTTATCTTAAAAGTCATAATTTTTGGCCAGTGTGGTAGCTCATGCCTATAAATCCAGCACTTTAGGAGGCAGAGGTAAGAGAACTGCATGAACTCAGGGGATCTAGGCCAGCCTGGGCAGCTTAGCGAGACCATGTCTCTACAAAAAAATTTTAAAATTATCCAGGCGAGTTGGCACACGCTGGTAGTTTCAGCTACTTAGGGGACTGAGGGGGAAGGATCACCTGAGCCCAGTAGGTTGAGGCTGCAGTAGCCATGAGCATGCCACTGCACTCCAGCCTGGGTGACAGAGTGAGACCCCAACTCAAAAAAAAAAAAAAAATCATGATTTTTACTGGGTGTGGAGGCTCATGCCTATAATGCCAACTCTTTGGGAGGCCAAGGTGGGAGGATCACTTGAAGTCAGAAGTTCAAGATCAGCCTGAGAAACAAAGCAAGACCCTGTAGCTACAAAAACTTTCAAAAAAAAAAAATAGCTGGACATGGTTGCACATGCCTATAGTCCTAGCGACTAGGGAGGCTGAATGAGAGGATTGCTTGAGCCCAGGAGTTCAAGGTTACAATAAGTTATGATTGCACCACCACACTCCAGCCTGGATGGCAAAGCAAGAGACCCCGTCTCTAAAAAAAGGAAACAAAAAATCAGGATTTTGTTATCCTAAATGAAACAACTTAAACATGAAAAGTATCTTAAATGATACTTTGGAGCAATATGAACAAGAGATGAAAAGTCAAGTTGAACTGGATATTTTCCAGTGCCAAAGCATCAATTTATAGAGTACTCACTGGTTGCCAAGAGGGAAAAACATAACTTTATAATAAAGAAATCTGATTGTCATTACCTACATCCAGTCATCGGTCATGGCATCTCTAGTAACAGTGAGACATGCATCTTTTAAGATGAAGTACATAGTATCACCTATTAAGTATTCTTGCCCAAAAAAAAAAAAAAATGTTCTTAATCTAATTAAGTCTTCATATCTTCACTTTTAGATTCCAGTTTACAGAAAATACAAGAGATAGGGAAGTTAAATGAGATCACGAGAAAGTAATCAGATAAATCCTTAAGATTAGATATTCTCTGTACAACTGACTTGCTCTCTTCAACAGGTCGGCATTTTAAAAAGGTTTGGGGTAGTCAATGCCAATCTAAACTAAAAGAAACCTAAGAGACAACAACTGAATGCAGTGCCACCATGGCAAAAGACTTTCTTGGCACAACTAGGAAAATGTGAACATAGACTGGAGATTAAGCAATATTATGAAATCATTGTTAAGTGGTAAAAGCAACATGATGGGGAGGTAAATATGTTTATTTTATGGAGGTGAATACTGATGTACTAAAGAGTGAAGTGTCACAATTCCTATGGTTAACTTTGAAACACTTACAAAATAAGTATGACAAAATATTAATGACTATCAATACTAGAAAATAAGCACATGGATAATTACTATTCTATCTTTCTGTATGTCTGAAAATTTTTCCAACTGAAACAAAGGCAGGCTGGGTGCAGTGGCTTATGCCTGTAATCCCAGCATTTTGGGAAGCGGAGGCGAGAAGATTGCCTGAGCCCGGGGGTTCGAAACCAACCTGGGCAACTTGGTGAGACCTTGTCTCTATAATAAATTAAAAAAAAAAAATTAGTTAGGTGTGGTGGCACACACCTGTAGGAAGGATTGCCTGAACTTAGAAAGTCAAGATTGCGGTGGCCATGAGTGTGCACTCCAGCCTGGGTAACAAAATGAGACTCTGACTCTAAAAAATGAAAAAAGAAAAAAAGGCAGATAAAATGTGATCTGTAGCTAAATGAATAATCTATTCTTTCCTTCACCATTAAGCTTCATAGAAGGAGAATGAAATACTACATGAGGAAGGTCTTGTTTTGTTGCTTCTAAGTCAGAACTTAAAATTACCTTCTTAGATTGAAGAAAATGAAACTAAAGAAAGAGAGCAGTTGAAGATTAAGGACAGAAGAAATAATTAATGAAGCAAGGACCTGCAAGAGACGGCAATAAATAACATCCTGTATCTTGAATTAGCATTATAAAAGAATAAAATACTGTATTCTGAACAGGAAAGAAAAAAGAACCCAGCTAGGTGTACAAGATGAAAGACAGCGGGTTCCAGAAGTTTGAAAATTATGGCTGATTACTTAGAAATAAGGTAACCTACTGAGGGCCAGGTATGGCCAAAAGGGGATAGGAGCTTGGAAAGAATGATAAGGTCTGAAATAGCCACTGTGAAGAATGGGAGACTAATCAAAGCCAAGATCAATACACATGGAGGGGCACAGGAAACATAAGTCACTGTCAGTGATCTCAGTAACTATGCGATAATCCTTGGCTACATGAATACAGGACACAGAAGGGCAGAGGAAGAAGCATACTTATTCAGGCCAGAGACCTTGATAAAGCAGAACAGGGACAGTATGACTATGGGAGTTAAAGAACTAGAAGGTCCGCCGTTCAACAAGTTAACAGAATAACTGCAGTTTCAGAAGTAGAATTGTACACGTGATAAGATCTAAGAGGAGAATCCGTTACCAAGGAGGTTAAGAACTTCATTATCCATCAGACTTTTTTTTTTTTTGAGTTGGAGTCCCACTCTGTCGCCCAGGCTGGAGTGCAGTGGTATGCTCACGGCCACCCCAACATCAACCTGCTGAATTCCAGTGATCCTTCCACCTCAACCTTTCAAGTAGGCGGAACTATAGGCACGCATTACCATGCCTAGGCTAATTTTTTTATTTGTTGTAGAGATGAGGTCTCACCAAGTTGCCTAGGCTGTTCTCGAAACCGTGGACTCAGGCAGCCCCCTTACCTCAGCCTCCCAAAGTGCTGGGATTACAGGCTTGA